GGAATGTATTAAAACTCCTATAAATATTTTGAAGGTAAATGGCACTTCAGAATACTTTTAGGATTTTCCACTCCTCAGACCTTAAACTTATTTGTCTTTGATTTGGATTCGGTTTGTTTTTGTATAATAAAATATCACAACCTGATAATCTTTTTCAAGTGTGCCTGTGGAGCTGTCAATATTTAGGCAGATTGAGGTTTTGGAACATCATATGACTGAGAGGTGAACATAATGAGCGGTAAAGGTTGTATTTTATGTTTCTTCGCACAAGGAAGGAACAGGGTTTTTTACAAATGGATTTCAATATAAAGTATCATCATAATGCGTGGGGGAATTCAGGACTGTTGTCCTTATTTTGGGTAACACTCATGTTGGCAAGTGAGAAGTTGACTGAGGTGTAAAGTGTGTAAGACTATCTTTCAGCTTATGTTTGTCAGGAGAAGCAAAAGTTTTCCAAGACTTAATCTCATGTGAAATGAAGTAATGGATATATTCAGCATGGATGAAACTCAGATGCCTAGGTATAAATGAACCATACTGAGTCTCCTCTGTGTGCTAATTCTCATGTCACTTTTTTCAGTGATACTGATAATATATATAATTATAAAATGACTTCGCTGGAGGCAGTTGTTGGATTCTGTTCAGGTACTTTATACCCTTACTTTTCAAAGTCCTTGGCTTTTCCCAGTTGGATTCTTAACTAATCTTTTGGTTTTTTCCACCAGCAAGGAGTCTAATTTGAACCAGGTAAATTAAAAATACTTTTTTATACATACTCAGAAGTTAAAGTGCACTTAAAGAAGAAAATGTCAAAAAGCTGTAACAGATAAAGGTAGAAAATAATGCTTATAAAATTGTTAAATTTTAAAATTCTGCAAAAATATTACTGAACTGAAATTATGACAGGGAATCTTGTGAAAGTCTTTGTACATTAGTATTCTTTTCTTTTAACATCTGGAAAATAAAGCTGAAAGCATATGGCAGCACTTTATGACAAAGTTATTCCTTAAGATTTTTATCATGGTATCTGATGTTTACATTTCTTACTACTTTTGGAGCTAACTTATCTTTAAATTTAAATAAATGAAAATTGGTGTTTTCCAAGGAACTTAAGTTTTGAAGGCTTTATTTGTACTTTATGGAAACTTAAAATATACCTTGATTCAGATTTTGTTTGGATCAGTGTGTTTGATTTATTTAAAAATACTATTGTGCATGCATAACTTCAATTGAATGTAAATACATACATTGTAGCCCGTCTGTCTTCCTGCCATATTACTGGGAATTATCAAGTGTAAATGAGTGATAAGTAACATTTTAAGATGACTGAAGTCATATTTCTATGCAGTTCATGACCTTTTTATATTAAAAAATAAACTTTGCCTTTTTTCAAAGCTTCTGTGTTTTCATTTCTTCACAGAATCAGAGAATGGTTGAGGTTGGAAAGGATCTCTGGAGGTTATGGTGTCAAACTCCCCTGCTCTTGCAGGGTTGCCTAGACTTGGTTGGCCAGGACCGTGTCCATATGGCTTTTGAGTATTTCCAAGGAAGGAGCCTCCACCTCTCTGGGCATCCTGTTCCAGTGCTCAGTTATCCTCACAGTAAAAGAAGTGTTTCCTGATGTTTAGATGGAACCTCCTGTGTTACAGTATGTGCCTGTTCCCTCTTGTCCTGTCACTGGGCACCACTGACAAGAGCCCAGCTCCATCTTTGCATCCTCCCTTCACATATTTGTATATGTTGATAAGATCCACCCCCCGAGCCTTCCCTTCTCTAGGCTAAACAGTCCCAGCTACCTCAGCCTTTCCTCACAGGAAGGATGCTCCAGTCCCTTAATTACCTCTGTGGCCCTTTGTTGGACTCTCAGGTAGGTCTGTCTCTCATGTACTGAGAAGTCCGGAACTGGACACAGTACTCCTGTGCTTAGTAGAAGGGAAGGATCACTTCCGTCAGCCTGCTGGTAATACCTTGTCTAATGCAGCCCATGATCCCATTAGCTCCTCTGTGGCAAGGGCATACTGTGGGCTCATGTTCAACTTGGTGCCCACCAGGACCCCAGGTCCTTTTCTGCAAAAGTGTTTTCCAGATGGGTGGTCCTAGCATTTATCAGTGTATGGCATAATACACAGGGCTTTGTGCTTCTTGTTGAATTTCATGAGGTTCCTGTCAGCCCATTTCTCTAGCCTGCAGAGGTCCCTATGGATAGCAGCATGACCCTCTGGTGTTATCAGCCACTCCCAGTTTTGTGTCATCTGCAGCCTTGCTGAGGGCATGCTCTGCCCCATCATCCAGATCGTTAACGAAGATGTTTAACCACGACTGGACCCAGTATTGACCCCTGGGGTACACTGCTTGTTACTGACCTCTAACTAGACTTTGTGCCACTGTTCACCACCTCCTGGGCCTGGCCATTCAGCCAGTTTCAGTCTACCTCACTGTCTGCTCATCCAGCCCATACATCGACAGCTTGTCTACGAGGACCTTAATGGCAGACAGCATCAAAGGTCTTGGCTGAAGTCTAGATGGGCAATGTCTGCTGCTCTCCCCTCATCTACCAGCCAGTCATTTCACCACAGGGGTTCATCAAGTTGCTCAAGCATGACCTCCCCTTGGTGAATCCATGCTGACTACTGATGAATCATGAACTTGGCAGCTGACTTCCTGGAACTCTTTTATACATGCCTGCTTTTTGTACATAAAAAGTTTGTGTTCTTATATGTAATGGTCTAGTTATGTCTTGCAGTAGTTCCTGAGATGGTACCTTTATGTTAGATTTAATGGTCTTTGCTGAATGACAGTGTAAGGAAACTTAAACAGAATGTTTGTTACACATATCAGAGTCCTAGGGCACTAACTGTACTTTTGTTTCATTTTCAGGAAGATGGCTGAGTTTTTAAAAAAGTAATAATTTTCCTTTAGAAAAGGAGTTACACTCAAAAGAGGTGGTTAACCCATTGTGGCCTGGATCATACGTTTCCTACAAAGGTGTGTTTCACTGACAAAACAAAAACATTTCTCATTGTTAGAAATGCACAAATGGGCTTTCTTTTTACTGAAAGAAATAGTGTGTTCATGTGCTTGATTTGGTGTTGCTTGCAGTGTTAAGTTCAGAAATTATCTAACATCTACATTTCCTGCATTGAAGGTTCTTACCAGGAATACTGCCTTTTTTCGTTTTTTTAAGACATCTAGAAAACAAACTGTTCTGTTTAACACTAGTAGTGATTTGAGACAGCTTGAAATTTCTGTCTTTTCAAAGGGCCTAAGGAAGGAGACATTAGAAAAATGCATTCTCTAGATAATCAGCACGGTTGTGCTTGTACCCTTGCCAAGTAAGGTAAGTTACGCTTGGAAAAACGCACAGCAAAATTGGGGGCAGATAAAAGCATGCAATTAATGTGTGTTTGTTTCAGAAACCAATCCTCCTGTGCCTTAAGAACCTGGCAGCTGACAGACCTGAAACTACTGCTTGGCCCGCTCTGCGTTGGAGAAGTGAGCAACGTACAGAACGCGTCAGCGTGTAGAAAGTCTACCAAATTAATTACAAAGCTGAATTGCTGAGTCACTGACCAGTGCATGAGCGTCTAAGGAAATTTCTTAATTAAAAGCAGGTACATGAATTATGACATAAGAATTCATACCTGGTTAGCTCGTGTAGTGTTAGCCCTAATAAATAAAGGCTAGACTGTTACACAAAGTATTCAAAGAATCAATCATTTCATGTGACAGTGCTATTTTTTGTTGCTTTCACAACACAACAGGAAGAGAAAGGGTGGTTTTTGACCCAGTAACACCTGTGACAAAACTGTTGCCCTCCAGTGAAATGAATGTTTTAC